TTGGGACTTTCTAGATGAATAGCCATGTTATGTGAGGATGATAAGCATTTTCTTCCTTCTTTACAAATCCCTGTGTTCTTGTCTCTTTATTTGCTGATTGGTTTATCTCTGGACTGACTAGCTCTTTGGTCAATATTGAAAAAATAAGCAACAGTGAAAGTGGGCATTCTTGTTCCACTCCTGATTTGGAAGAGATACAGAGATGTCTAACCTTTCCAATACCATGGCCGGGGTGCGCCGTGGCTTTCTGGCCACTGTCAGCCACATGGAGGAAGTGCCTCACAGTCTCCCCTTGGATGTGGCCGTCACCATTATCATTTCACTTGATTTCTGTTGGTGTTGAGAGCCTACAGAGCAGGACATACAGAAATTCACCAGTTTCTACAGGCTCAACGAGGCGACACTACTCTTGGAGTCCTGTCACCATCCTCACTCTCTTTTTCCAGATTGTCCCTCCCTCACAGCCATCAGCTGGCTGCCCCCCAGGGAGGCTTATTGCAAGGGAGTGCTGAGTTCCCCATCACGTGATGGAAAACCGCCTGGCTTCAAGGGGGAGCAGCATTGCAGATTGATGCAGCTGCTGGCAGCGAGCTGTCCACCTGGAAAAGGTTGAACTGGCAGAGTTGTGTGACAGCCACAATGATTATATCTTTAGAAGCTATGGACAGATGCTGAATTTCCTCAGGAAAGTTCCAGAAGCCCTTGAGGGTTACACCTCTGCTCCTTTGCTCTGTTCGTGGAGTCCCCTGACTCGTGCTTACAATCTGGTCTATTGGTTCTGGCAAAGCAGTATGTCGACATTGTTCCAAGTTAAAAAGCGCCGACAGCAAGCACATCCTCTGCCTCCGTCCCTCAGCATCCTCCCCGGAGCCCTGCACCCCCAGGTGCACTGCGTCTGAAATGTTCTCTGGAGAAACTGTGTTAGCCCTGCTCTCTGCATCTGTCCGGTGCCGTGCAGTGCCCCTGGTTCCGAGTAGAGCCACCCAGAGCATCTCCTGGGCTGTGAGCTTTACGGGGGAGATTGCCAGGCCTTTTCTCCGCAGAACCACTGGATGGGTTCAGACCACGAGGTCAGCAGCTAGCAGCCCAGCTTTGGACCACGATGTCGCCTGGGCTCCACAAA